CGAATGGCGTGGTCAGAATTGTCGAATTCTGCAATTTCATTGGTCCTGAGACACGCAAATTCTGGTAGCTGATTGGTCGATTGTATCGTTACACCTGTATATATGAATAGCTTGATATAGGTTTATCGAGTTTTGATAGTTTTATTCGAGGAGCCGTACGTCAAAAACTGATTCGCGCACTTATTTTGGAACAGAGGGAGTATATATCATGGTCGAAATATCGAGCCTCTGGACGCGACAGTTGCAGGAAAATTTGTTAGTATTGCATTGCAAATCTGCCGAAAGATCGCTGCATTGCAGCGAAATGCGCGTGGGGTGGCAGTTGTGGTTGGCGGCGGCGGCTCTTGCGAAGACCATCGACTACGACGCGTTAGAGAGACAATGGGAGAGTGGAGACAAAGAAGATGAGCTCCTCTCAGACGATGAACTCGACTACAAGCGGTACTGTCCTTGTTGCCATTCGTCGACCTCAACATGGCTCTCGCAGGACTGGCACATTAGAAAAATCCGAGATTGTGTTTGTGACGCTAAAGGAATCTGCGATCGACGCCATGGTACCCGTGGACCCTGTGGTCTCTGCCGTGTCCGAGCTGTGTGCGACTTGGAAACACGTACGTAGTTAGTCTGTTCTGTCGACGACTCAGCGGAGGTCAAGTAGATGCTTATGCATGGCGGACTCTCCGTTAACTTTTACGAGCTGGAAGCATACAAAGTATTGGCCGGGTTGCAGCACGGTTCGCGAGTGACGGACCTCCGCGACTTCTTGCTCGAACAGCACCAAGTTCAGGAAGTCACTTGGGACCAGAGGACATATCATCCCAAACATGCTAGCAAGTTGCAGGCCAAGCCCCAAAAAGCGCTCAAACCGTCAAATTCCAAGCTCAAGTCGAAGAAGAAGCGGTCCAAGAAAGATGAGCTGTAAAGCCACTTGTACAAGCACATACAACGTTCGCGCAGCCAAATTTATCAGGACCTTGGCTTGGTGCGCGCTAAGGACCTGCCGATGACAGCATAGGCGAGTGCAACTCCACGAGCAACGCATCCAAATGCCCCATTCTTATCACTCAATCGACGAGAGTGTTGTAAAAGGTGATGTTTGCAGCGGTCGCAGTGGGTTTGCTGCATGACATGTTGTTGAGATTTGAGTTGGCCATTCGGTCCAACCGGGAGTACGTGCGTCAACACGTGTGGAATGCCATCGTATCATTTCAAATAAGCATCTTGTTCACGAAGTATTGTCGTTTTAACGATGACATGGAGAACTTCATCTCCCATCCGTCCATCGAGAGTTCGCCGCGGGCATGGCGATGTGAAGTGGAACCGTTGATGTGAGCTTCCTGGGACACCACATATTCCACTGCATCAAAATCAAAGCTTACGATCGCTCGAAACGTGCCAGTCTTGGCAGTGCTTGTGTTTGCGGCTATGCTGCGGTGAATTGATCTAGGAAGCGTCCAAGGGATAGGCCGCGCACGGCGGCGCTGCGGTCATCCCGTTCTGGTTCGAGACGAATGACGTCAACCTTGGATCATCCAATCAAAGCTGTTTAATCCACGGAAGTGTATAATTTTTGCCAATCAGAATGCAGTATCAGTTGCACAGTTGAAATGCCCAGAAGGTTTCATCGCCGCCAGCATGCTCCATTTTCCAATTCGCCGTGTCATGCGTATTGCCGCGCTGTCCATTTCCCTTGCGCTGCGCGGGCCGTGTGTAGGGCCACGGCCATCTCGTCGACCCAATCCAAGCGTGGGTGAACCTTACCGCGGACGTCACTTCATACTTCTACCTTCTCGATGGTTCAACTCTAGATTGCCTCGAAGTCTGTACAACCGTGGATGCCGACAGGTTTGCCAAAACCTTCCAGGCTTCGTCATAAATAGTTAGTTATTCGTCGATCCGAGACTTCGTCACTAACAACTCGCCAGTGTGTGGCGCATGAGATCTCACCACGCTCCAAAACAGCACGCCCCAACAGCTCAACCCAACAAGCACCATTCAGTGGAAACGTGGCAGCGAGGAAAGGTTCACGTTGACGCATCATGGGCCGTGTGAGGTATGGTGCGGCGACTCGATTGTCTTCGCGCCAACGCATTTGTCGGTATCACACGTCGATTGAATTCCATCGATACCCATAATGTTCAAGGGGCGCCCATCGACCCGGAGGAACTGCTGCGATGGATATCTTCTCCGGCGCGTGCAATCCGAAGTCAAGGCGGCCTCATGACGACGACTGTGGCGTAGTCAGAGTATTTGACCACGGCTCGTCGCGCCGATGAGCCGTGGCGGATGCAGTTAATGCGTCAATGAAAGCACCCAAGTGGATTGTAACTATCTCCAAGCCCACTCCTTCCTGGCGCAAAAGCAGCAGGGCTTTGTCGTCAGTTCCCTGTCGTGCCACCCATTGCGTGGTGCTCTTATCGTTCGAAGTCCGAATTCTAGCCTCGTGACCGTTCGACTATTTCGTGTCGGTGGAGTTCGGCGGCGTCGGTTCGTTAGTTTCGATTTTTCATCGTGCGGGAAACGCGATAGATGGGGCGAGCCGCGTTTAAGTTGACGGTGGCGGCGTTGCTCGTGGCCGTCTTCCTGGCACCTGCCAGTCCCTGGCTCCACTCGAAAGACATCAACTACGACGCGGTCGAGAAGGCGTGGGAAGCGGGCGACATGGACGATGAACTCAAAGAGGAAGAGGACAAAATGCACAAGGTGAAAAACATTGAAGAGCGGTGCGGTGTCTCTGTCGGGAATGGATTCACGTTGTGATCACGAGGTTGTAGGAAGAAGCGCCCAAACTTTGTCGGGGACGTCGGCATTCCCCAGACGATGGTCGTGAGCTTGAAAGAGACTGCGCTGGACGAGTTCAAGGAAGAGTTCCCCACCATCCCCGAGCCGACGCTGGCCATCTCCAACATGTGGAAGGAGATGCTGTTCAACGGAGGCATCGACGCTGAGTTCTTTGAGGTGAACGAGACGCCGTTCAAGGTCGTGGTCAAGATCAAGCGCGGGTGGCTCGCGGAGGACCTCGTCGAGTTTCTTGTGAACCAGCCCCAGGTCGATGAAGTCATGTGGGACTTTGAGACGTATTACCCCCCGGGTGTGGACGAGAAGCAGCGGGAAAAGGAAAAACAGGACGCCTTCAAAGCCGCCCAAGCCAAGCTAAAGAAGAAGAACGCGAAAAAGCGCAAGGCGGCGGCGACCAAGACCGAACTGTAGCCTACATTAGTTGCCATTCCTACACACGGCGACGTTGTGTGGCACATCCTTCCAAATGCGTTGCAAGCATCACCACGCTTGGGGGTAAGGCAAGGAGCGCAGGCACTTGAGATCGAGGCGTCGTGCGACCTTGTCGCAGTAGTCTTGGCGATTCACGAAGGTGGAGGAACATTTCCGATCAAGCACCAGACTCGTTTTCATAACACGAAACGAAAATCTCTCTGCGGAGTCGATAAGGGCCATCGCATCAAAGGAGTTTTGCGACCTTGCTTCATTGCTCGGCCAGTCCTGCAGGAACGTCCCTGACGGACGACGACGCAACACACGGGTGTCGCCGCCAAGGACGGTGGCGTCGGTCGCAGTACCCTCATTAGTAAATAATTCTTGTCAGCACTTGGCTCCACGGAAATCACCCCGATCTGCCTTACAGAGACTCCTAACTCATGAGTGTCATCCTCTGTCTTTGCATCATTCCTACTTTGTGTGCACGAAATGCACACAGGTAAGGATTACCTACTAATGAGTTGACCTCTCCTCGGCCCCGCCGCCGCCTTGACCTATGCAAGTCCAGCTCCCACAGCCAAACTCGACATCCACATCCACCGTGGATTCGCCATCTCGTCGACCGCTCCTGGCCATTCGTTGCCGCCATTGTCTCGACACCCTCCGCGTTTTACCATTTAACGTGTCTCCACACCACATTCGCGTGGTGGCAGGGAATTTCAATAAAACGTATTTGGGTTTCAACGTTTTATATAGTATTTCTTGAATGACACATGCATGGCAATGGGGCAAGTCCCACCTACGGGCACCACACAAATGCAGCAACCGCCTTGCAATCTCTCTGTCCGTACGGTACGACTTGTTTAGTGAGTGGCCAAATGCACATGCTTCGCTTGCTGTCGCAAAGATTTGAGGTGGATGTGGTGGCAGCGACTGTTGCAGGGGCACGTTGGGGGGCAGCGGCGGGGGGCTTGGTGGTTGTGGGGACAGATCGGGTGACTTGAGGAGACACGTTGGAACTGTTGCGGATGTTGTCGAATTGGGACGTGGGATAGTCGAGGTTGTTTTCGTGAAAGTCCATGTTATCCTTGCCAAACGTGTTGAATGTTTGTGTGATGAGGGATCGCGCGGAGCCCGCGGCGGCGTCGGCATCGCCGGCCCAGAACATGGCCCCGCCAAGCTTGTGTTTTTGAATGTACGCGAGCTTCGCTTCTAAGCTCAGAGGCGACTCGTATGACACGAACGTGCGAGTGTCGGGGTTGTAGCTGTATGCCGCGACGAGCTTGGTGTCGTAGTACTCTGTCGCCCCGGGAAGGGGCAGCGCCTTGAAGTCCCACACGCCGGCGCCGTCGCCGTTCCCAGCGACCCACGATCCTTGGTTCGACGGAGGTGAAAACGTCGAGTACAGTCCATCTGTGTTCTCAAACGATCGCCCGTAGAGGGGCATACCGAGCACAATTTTGCCCGGGTCACACCCGCGCTTGATGTAGTCTTGAATGGCGTTGTCTACGCTGTACTTGAGGCCCGCGGGGTGCGACGGGTCCTCGTACAAATTGGCGTGGTGGTCGGTGTATTCGCTCCAGCTGCCAGCCATGTCGTACGCCATCACGTTGACGTGGTCAACAAGGCCACAGAGCGAATTGAAGTCCCAATGCCGGTAATTTTCCGGCCCGACGGGGGACGCAATGCTGAGCTCGGCCTTGAACGACAGCGTTTTGAACTCATCTCGGATGGCTTGGAGGAGCGCAACGTAATTTGCAATGTCGTTGGCGCGATGGGGCACAGCGGGCTGAGGGTTCCCCCCTTCGACGGGGTATTCCCAGTCCAAATCGATGAAATCCAGACCCAAATTCAGCATCATCGTGACCGCGCTGCGTGCAAAGGTCCGGCGACCAACGTCCGAGTCGGCGATGTCGCTAAACTTGTCGCTCAACGTCCACCCACCAATGGAGAGCCCAAACTTTGTACCACGGAACTTTTTCTTGAGCTTGTTGGCTTGACCAAAACTGCCATACACATTCTTCCCAACGTCGTTCCACGAGTCGCCATGGTCAAGGAAGCGTTTGTCTGTGGCGGCCCACGTGTCGTACAAGTCGATCGTACCATCCGCTCGCGGTCGACCAAAGGCGTAGTTGACGTGCGTGATGCGGGACCAGTCCAAGTCGAAAATACCAAAGTTGCGTTGGTAGATTGCCCATTCCATGTAATACACGACCGACTTGAGCTTTGCCGCAGACGAACCGAGGGCTAGTGGGGCCAGCACTGCAGCCGTCGCGGTGGCAAGGACTTTCATTCTTGGAGCGATCTGGTGGCAGTCGGACGCAATTTGGACACTGTAAGTTCGTCGATCGGGACACACTCGATCCAGCAACACGTAACGACTGCCCCTGCCATTTCTGCTGGTGATGATCCACGAAACGTGCCGTGCGCACCCACGCAACACAAACGACGTGAAGGGTGCGCGATTTGGAACTTCCATCGTCCAACCACCAACTTGCCAACACTGAACACGTGGGGTGGTTGCGCTCCTAGTGCAAGCAGTGCGATGCAAAGCGCACAGCTAGTGGTCCTGGGTTCGTTGGGGCCTGGGGGCTTTCGGCGTGGAGGAAGGACGAGATGGCGTTCCCTCATCCATGACGTCGGCAGTTTCGTCGGAAAACTCGTGATGAAATCTGAAACTGCCACTCCACTTGGTCTATTTATAGAATTGACCACCACCACCAGAAAATGGTGCATGAAGTCCGTACAACTGCATTCCGAGACGTGGCGTGGTTTATTGCGACATAGCATCGTTGGAGGGGCATGCTGGCTCAGGCCCAACGCACATTGCCTGAGTGCGAATGATCTCAGGGGATGGGAAGGAGCGAACGAACGACATTCAACCGGATTCGTTTCACATCGGGTCTTTCTCGCGCGCTGACGACTTGTTGCACGGCGTTCCGCGTACGCGATTGAGTTGGATCTATCGAACAACATCCACGAAGGATATGCCCATGGAATCTTGAAACTTCTCGACGACGCGGCCGCAGCGTCTTGTCACTTTGGATTTTGCAATACTTTGCTTCACATGCGCCTCTATTCCGCTCTAGCGACCGCTGTTGCGATGGCATCTGCAGCCCCATTCAACGGCGTCCGTCCCGCGATGGCGTATCCCGTGCATGCAAATGCGAACGCTGCCTCGGACCAGCTTTCCACTGTGTCGACCACTGTCCGCAAACGACGATTGCCCCCCCACACGCTCGTGGGGTACTGGCACAACTTTGCCAACCCGTCGGGACCCACGTTTCCCCTGCGTGAGATCAGCTCCGACTGGGACGTAATTGTCGTGGCGTTTGGGTCGAGTGTCGGGGGCGGCACAGTCAAATTCGACCTGGACCCGGCTGCAGGGACCGAAGCCCAGTTCATATCTGACATCTCGACCCTCCAAGGCAGAAACAAGACTGTCGTGTTGTCGTTGGGCGGCCAGGACGGTACAGTGTCGTTGAATGACGCAGCGGAAACGGCCCGTTTTGTCGACTCCGTGGCCGAGCTATTGGCAAAATACGGATTTGACGGGATCGACTTGGACGTCGAAACCGGGATATCCCAGGGCCTTCCCATCGTGAACAACTTGATTTCGGCCGTGAAACAGATCAAGCAGCGCGTTGGCGATTCATTCTACTTAAGCATGGCCCCCGAACACCCGTATGTTCAAGGCGGTGCCGTGAGCTATGGCAGCATTTGGGGTGCCTACTTGCCTATCATTGACGGGTTGCGCGATGAATTGACGCAAATCCACGTTCAGTACTACAACAATGGTGGGTTCGTTTACACTGACGGTCGGATGCTGCAAGAAGGCACGGTTGATTGCCTCGTCGGGGGCAGCTTGATGCTCATCAACGGCTTCGAAACCAACTACGGCAAAGGGTGGCGCTTCCGAGGACTTCGACCGGACCAAGTGTCGTTCGGCGTGCCGTCTGGCCCGCAAGCAGCGGGCCGTGGGTTTGCATCCGCCGACACGTTGCAGAACGCTGTGACGTGCATCGCCCAAGGCGTTGGCTGCGACACCATTCGTCCCACCTCCCCACATCCAACTTTTCGCGGAATCATGACGTGGTCCATCAACTGGGATAGGTTTGATCAGTTTGAATTTTCCCGAAATGCTCGAGCCGCCCTCGACGGATTGCCTCAGGTCGTGCAGGTTGGCTCTAGCAGCGCCGTGAAAGAAACGACGGCAACAACAGCCCAAGTCCGCTCAGTTCCTGCGGCGACCCTACCCACTGCACCGAAGAACTGCGGCCGGTGCGACAACTGCTACTATTCTCCCACGAACGCGTGCTTTTCGGGGTGGACCAAGGCGCAATGCCGGTCAGTGTCAGTCTTTACTTGGTGCGGATAAAGTTTATTACCATCGTCGATTTTGGTGTTTCAGGTTGTGTGTATCCAACGTGCAGGTATCACGGCAAGTTAAGCTCCGTAGGCGATGACAACTTTGCAGAGGACAGCACTTGCTGGCTTTGGAGCACCAGCACAAAAGTTGAGTAGCCACGGCAGGAGAAGGTGGGTCAGAGTTCTTCGACTCGTCGTGCGAAACTCCCTTTGCGGTGTCGAACAACAGTATTCGTCGTATGAGTCGTGTATTGGGACGCTTTTATGAAGCATGTGAGGTTCGTCCATTGACTGAGGCAGCTGCGTGGACTTGGAACAATTCTTTGGCGGACAGAGGCGCCATGGCCAGTGGGATCAACGTAACATCGATTGGCCGCAATTGCCTCATGATCTGGACAAATTCTGTCCGGGGAATGTCTCTTGCTCCCAGAGCGAGTTTGTACGGCATGGACATGCCCAAGTCCCATAGTTGGAACCCGCACTGATGCAAATATGCTCCTAGAGCATACAACTGCATCGTCCCAGCGCCGTTGGAGCCGGTGAACCCTGTCAAGCTTGTATACATCGCGCCGTTTGTGTAGCCAAGTTCCCCGGCAACCAAATCGTTCACGTCGTTCCAGAGCTCAACACTGATAAGCTGGACCTGCCGCCCTTGATCAGCGACAGGCACACCATTCAGCATGGCTCGAAACGCCGTCACCACAGGTGGATACAACCACGCCTGCCCATGTTGAGCGTGACACCCTGCGACGACGCTATCGAACGCTGTGTTGAATGTCAGATGAAACCCTTTCGACTTCTTGCGCACTTGTTTTGGAACGTGCAGCGACGCTAGTGAGGAGATCACACAGCGCTGGGCGTGCAACTTTGGCAAGAGGTAGCAATGTCGACCCTGCTGTGTTGCAATGGGCAGGAATCCTGCGTACATGACTTGACCGATGAAGGACGGATCAAAGGTGCGGCTGACCCAGAAGTCGTCGTGATAATGGCGCATTCTGTCCTGCAGATCCACCGGCACGAACGCCATGAGATCCGTCATGTCGTGTCACTTGTTGGAGAATTCTCCGATGGATTGAACCCGATCCAATTACCCGGATAATGAGGAAAAGTTATCCGGTGATTTCTTCAAGAAATTTGGCGCCGTTCTCGCATCGTGGAGGCCGGTGGATCTACTTGCTTGGAAGATGGACAAGCTACGCCTGCGTACTTTACGACACGGCACTACATGCTGTCCACCTTTGCACGACAAGAACAGTGGACATGTAAACCAGTGCAGAGAGATGCCGATGAAGTATTCGTGCGGAAATTCTCACGTCATCCTTACCGATCGAGCACTGTCCTCGAATTCGATCAACCATCCTAGGACGGCGAATGATCCATGGGCTTCTCCACAAAGGTTTCAAGACCGGAATATGCATCGCATTCGTCGTCGAAGTCGTGGCTGGCGACAGGCTTCGACTCCTCGTTGCCAGCTTTTCGTGGCAATCCTACTCGCCTAGCGTGATAGGACCCAAGCAACCCCCGGCATAAATGGTGGATCGTCACATTATGATCCCAGAGTTGACATTGTCCTAGAACTCGCTGGGCAATGCGGCTGGCGTCAAATGTGGAAAATGTTCAGCGATGGCGTCAACAATCATTTGATGGGCAACGACGTTGCCTTGTCGGTTGAAGTGCAGTCCGTCGGCGAGGAGGTCCGTGCGGCCTTGAAGAGCCGTCCAGAAATCAACCACGGGTACGTCGAGGGATGCGGCGAGGTGGACGCAGGCGGCAGCGTATTTCTTCGTTTCCAAGTTGGCGCGACTGGGCCACCGCGCATCATCGACAACCGGTGGGGTCAAGAATAGGATTTTGCAAAGCGGAAACCCAGCGCGGATCAGAGTTACCATGTGCGTGAGGTTCGCCACATACTCGTCAACGGGAACGTGTTGCTGGTGATCCGGGGAGTTGATCAGCGCCGCGTCGTTGGCGCCGAGGAAGACAGTGATCAAGCACGGCGGCTTTCTCCGCCATTCTTCTATCAATAGAGGGACTTTGGACAACCACCCGCGTGTGGTCCATCCAGACAACCCACGGTTGACTACGTCGGCCTTGCGCACGTAGTCGTTGGTCAACAGGACTTGGTAACCGAGAATCTCAGGGTTGGCTCCATTCTGTGTGATTGAGTCGCCCAGGGTGACGATGAGCGGTGCGCCGGCGAATGTCCGGTACCCCATGAGATCTTTTTCGGACGCACGTACAAAAGAATAAGTGTTTAGTACTACTAACAGTGGTCGAACGCATCGACCGACCTTCCGGATAATTCATCAAATTCACGAGATACAACCTCTTCGGTGCATTTGCTGCGAAACTATTCATTTTGAAAATTATTGACTGTTAGAGGAATTACTAGTACTCATCACCTTCGTAATATACAATACAGTGATACCTCACATTTTGCACCATCTCCAAAATATAAATTCTAACAG